GAGGTCTCAGCACCAAGTATGGAAGAGGAGGGTCGTTGCACCTGTTAATAGACTGCAGGCCAGTGAACCATGACTCAAGCAGCCCGCGGTTTACGCGATTGTGACCTCTAGTGAGAATTTCAGTCTCTTCGAATTTGAGGTGCTGCTCCTCCTTCCCAATCGGTATGTCCACATTATGCTCCACAACAAGGTGGAGCAGGCTCGGTGATTTGCGCTAAATTAGTTCTTAATGAGTGTAGATTTACACAGCACCTACGCAATCTATCCTCATCCCCCCACCTGTGCCCATGCGCTACAAGGACACTTTGAAGCACTCTCCGAAAACGCTGCACATCAGTCGGGGAGCCGGGTAGGACTTCATCCAGAACAGACCGGCACCGCGAAGAGAAGTGAAGACTGGCGCCATCTACGAAGTAAAGTGGATCGCCGCCACCAAAGCCCAAAGGGAGACTCTCAAGTCACACGCGCCTCGCCTCCTCCGTGCCAACCGTCAACTGCTTCCAACATATTCGTGCTGCCAACACGCATTCCGAGATCGAATCTGTCTAATGGGACACCTTCGAACCCAAGGGGCCAACAACTCGACAACGTCTACTTCTTCCATTCTCGCTCCTGATGCAAGCCCCGTTCCGGCCGCCCCCTGTTCCACCGCCAATCACACTGTCGCTGTTCCGTCATCATCAACCACCGACACTATCCACCCTGCCCCAAATCCTGAGTCGACGACAACGACCAGCTCCACCACCCCCACGACATCACGCACTCCCCCCACCGATGGGACGACGTACGACGTCAAATAAATTTCAAACATCACCACCACCACCACCACCACCACAACTCCACCTTCAGTGATATGAACTCGGCACATACCTGTCCCCATTACGACCGCACATTCGCCCCACACTTCGGCCTGAGCAGTCACTTGCGAATCCATTGCACAGAGACTGACATATCAGTGCCTGGAGCACCAACCTAATCTCGCCGCATCTGCCTCCACTGTTAACACTGCCCTGCACATTCACTTCCCGCAAGGGCATTCATGAAAACGTGCAGTGGACAGCCGCCGGCCACGGCACACAAACACACATACCTTCACTAGCATCTGCGCCACACAAAATCACCCATCGTCACACAACAAAAGAACTCAACTGCCACCTCAAACGAAAGTTGGAAGTGTGCTTCTCGGCTTCTTCCCCATGCGGCTCCTCTGCTGCCCATGTGACCCCAGTCTGAGACTTTCACTGAGCACCAAGAACAGTGGATTGGATGGTTGCCGACAGACGCCTCAACCCAGTCCACGCAGCCTGCTCAGTTGTGTTTGCTTGTGTGAAGTGGCGGACTGATGGGTTGAGAGTTGGCCAGTCAAGGTTCCTTTTCAACGTAGCATCTGGCCCTCTCACGCATGTGAGGAATGAGTGTGTTTTTATGGGTAATGCCTCTCAGTCTACGATTAACTGGTTACTCTGCCTTTGAAGGATGATAGGCCGTGCTAAGGGCAGGGATGTGTGTCACTCTTCTAGATCTTAAGGATTGTGAGCATCTGCTATGCTATGATCCAGCGAACCGTGGCCCTCGCAGCCTGCTGCGCGCATCATTTGACAAGATCCGGCCACACAGTCAAATTCGACGAGACTGAAATTCTCATTAGAGCTGACAACAGAGTGAACCGCGGACTGCTCGAGTCATGGTTCACTGGCCTGCAGTCTATTAACAGGTGCAACGACCCTCCTCTTCCATACTTGGTGCTGAGACCTCGCCTATGCGGAGTAACTAGCCATGCGGGGAGCGCAGAGGCGAACACTGTTTCCGACGTCAGGGTCGGTGGGTCAGATGGTCGAGCATTCATCACACCAACATCCGACAGCCATGATGAAATAGCAGGATTAGCGACGCGAATGTTGGCCATCGGACAGTCATCACGCCAAGTGCAACAATCCCAGATGAGGGAGAGGG